GGGGTTGGGGTAGGTCTTGTGGGCCCGTCCTCCCTGTGTCCAAGAGGGTGGAGAGAATGGGGGATGGGGGTGTCGGAGAAGTGCCCCAGGCGGCGCCTGCATTTCTCCGCTGGGCTCGGTGCTCCGCTCCCCAGCCAGCTCTCTTACCTCTTTCTTTGTGCTTCTCGCCCTGCCTCCCCTGCCCCCTGCCTCCCATCCTCTGCCCCTCTCTGTGTCTCTGCCTGGCTCCTCTTGCCCGTCTGGCTCTGATGACTCATCTGGGATTGGCAGGAAGGTTACTCAGGGAACAAGGGCCCCGCTGTTCCCCCAGTGGTGGGGGTGGCGAGCGGCACCCAGGAATTCCAGGCCCCTGGGGGTGGCTCCTGAACCCCCAAGGGACTAGGCATGATGCCTCTGGTTCTAGCTCTGATTGGATACCAGGGTGCCCCCCGCAACTCAGTCAGCCCCTCAGCTGCTGTTTCAGAGCTGTGGGGTCTCAGCTGCCTCTTACATTCCTGCCTAGAGCATTGTGGGAGCAGCTGGAGGACAAAGGGATGGGGGAGTGTCCCCCACTCCTCCTACCTCCTGGGGCGACTGGGCCCTCTCTTAGACCTGTTCTCATCTCCCAGGCAGCTTAGCCTTTTCCTCAGTCTTGGGTCCTTCCCCTTCAGAAAGTGGGAACTGGGGGCACAGGTGGTCTGGGCTCAGGAGGGAAGGCAGAGCAGGAAGAGCTGGGGTATGAAGGGTGGTCCTAGGGGTCCTTCAGGATTCCAGGGCCTGGGGAGCTCATGCAGACCTGTGAATAGGACAGGTCAGGACAGCTGTTCCTGCGCTGGGCTGGAGAGGGTAGTGCCGGGATTCATTAAGAGGGACTATTGGAATGGTTTTAGGTGGGCCGGGCTGCCTGGACCCCAGTGGGGAAGAACAGGGTTCTCAAACTTTCATGGCACAGATCACGGGGGACTGTGTTAAAATGCAGGCCTAGGGTGAGGCCTGAGGTCCTGCATTTCTCCCAAGCTCCCAGGTGTTGTTGAGGTGACTGTTCTAGGGTCACATTGGGCCTAGCAGGCCACAGAGGACCATGAGATTGGAAGGTGCTGGGGTCCCCCACTTGTCTTAGAATTCTGGGCTCCTAGGTGGGGAGGGGACCAGAGTTTCACCCAGTGTCTAGCACATGGTAAGCATTCTAAAAATATAACTGATGCTGTCAAACACCTTGCTCTGTCACCCCCAGAGCAGCCCATTCTCTCTGTCTGTTGTTGGCTGTGGCCCAGTCTCCCTGATTGCCCTTTAACTTACCCCCCCACCCGTTTTGTCCCCTGCAGAGATGCTGCCCCCACCCCCTTAGGCCCAAGGGATCAGGAGCTATGGGGCCAGGGGCCCTCTCACCTCTACTGCTGCTGTTCTCGGTGGCAACTGGAGATGCTGACATGAAGGGACATTTCGACCCTGGTGAGGAGACTGGCTCTTGGGTCCCTGAGGGATGAGGCTTGGGAGACAGAATCGGAGGCTGTGACCCTTGTCTTCCTGTATTCACCCAGCCAAGTGCCGCTATGCCCTGGGCATGCAGGACCGGACCATCCCAGATGGGGACATTTCTGCCTCTAGCTCCTGGTCAGACTCTACGGCTGCTCGCCACAGCAGGTACCTGGCACACTGGGTGGGGCTGCCCTGGAGGTTAACTCCTGGGGTCTCTACTTGCCCTTCCAAACCCTCTGCCCAAGCCAAGAGGCTTCTGAGAGGGCCAGTGGCAATGACCCCTCCCCCCCCCAGTCCTGGGGGACTTTAAATACAAGAGCCAGAGGCAGACCCAGGGCCAGATGTTCCCTGTGACCTCCTGCCCCCTCCCAGGCTGGAGAGCAGCGATGGGGACGGGGCATGGTGCCCCGCAGGGCCGGTCTTTCCCAAGGAGGAGGAGTATCTGCAGGTGGATCTTCGGCGGCTGCACCTGGTGGCTCTGGTGGGCACCCAGGGGCGGCATGCTGGAGGCCTGGGCAAGGAGTTCTCCCCCAGCTACCGGCTGCGTTACTCCCGGGACGGCCACCGCTGGATGGACTGGAGGGACCGCTGGGGTCAGGAGGTGAGGCTGGCAGGGGCAGCAGCCAGGAGGGGTTGCTCTCCTCTCTCCTCCAGCTACACTTTAAATGCCACCTATCCACTGACCATCCTCCATTTCACACCCTCTCCAGCCCAAACCTCTCCACCTGAGCTCCATCTAGCGCTGTTCCACCTGGATGTCTAATGGGTCTCTCAAATTTACCATCAACTTCCCAAGCTGAACTTGAGTCCCATGCCCACCCCAAGCCTGTCTCCTGCCCCCCAGCATTCTCTAGCTCAGGAAATGGTGCCACCATGTGCCCAGTTGTTCAGGCCAAGAGGATATCCCCGACTCCTTGTTCTCCTACCTCCTGCTTCCAACACATCAGTGAGGCCAGTCTGTTTTCTGCCTCTGACCACTTTCCACCACCCCAACTGCCACCTGCCTTAGGCGGAACACATCGTTTCCACCCCATCCCCATCC